TAAACCCCATAATTCAAAACTACAGTATATAGTTCATCACATCACATCGTCACGCTGTACATCACATTACTGTATCACCTCAAATTCACTTTACAGTCAAGTTTTCATTTCTCAAGTTAAATATATCAACATCTACTGAATGGATTGGCACTATATTGTGTACAGACATTCGTGGTTCCCGGATGATGAATCCTAATAACTTTGGAGACTCTGACTTTCCATTTAAGAAATAATGACATTCCCAACAACCTTAGCTGTACTTTATGTTTATTGCTAATTAGCAAATGTTAGCATGCTAAGACACTAAACTAAGATGGTTAACAGCTTCAGAGAGCCGCTATCATGGCTGTTGTCTTGTTCTATAGTAAAAAAAAACACATTATATCATGACTGTTGACAGAATAAGAAGAGAAATCTATATTTTATTATTCCATAGTGGTTGACCAGATCCACATTAAGATGAAACCAGAGTGCTCTTTCTCACTTGTGAAGACCTCTGTCAGCTCTGTGAGAAATGTAGCACCCTTCCACAACTTACTCTCAGTGTAGAAATGATGATCTGGGAGTGACCGCAAAAAACCCAAACCTCTGTTACTATATATTAGGGATTATGGTGCAAAATGGCCTTCTAACTGTGCTTCACATTTTGTAAGAAAACCTCAAAGAGGAATATTGATGAAGTTTTGGAACCATTTAAGGGAAACTAAAGAAAAATGTATTAAACATAAAGACCTATGAAGCTCCACCGTCAACTAGTTCAAACACCCCTCAAAAATGTCATAATTCATTCAACATACGTGTTTTTTAGCAGAAGTAAAGTGGTGTTTTTGCTCTGTTTAAAGATTGTGTACGTTTATATTCTTTGTATTTTTAATGATAAAGCTTCGCATGCTGACATATTTGTTATCAATTCACTGCTGAAATATACAAATCTATGAATTATTTAAAACTAAAAAGCTGAAATGAACTGAAAGCGTTTTAATGAATAGCAAATAATTTTATTTATATAAAAATATCCAGAAATAACTTTACTCCCCTTTACAGGTTCTTGTGGTGGTTGAGTAAAGGCTTATCGCCCCCTACTGGCCACTGTATGGAACTAAAATTGTGCCCCAACGAACCTCCAATGCTAAAAATATTCACACTCATGGGACTCTTTAATACATTTTTGGTTAAAATGGGAATTGTGTCTTTACTCAGTTACTGGTTTAAAATACTGAGAGGGAAGCACAGATTGCACATTAACTGACAGCACAGGTCACAGGTTTGATCTTTGTTTTCATCTGATGCTTCAGTGTGTTTGTCCTGTCCAAGTGTCACCGCCCCACTGACCTTCTGCTGGTAAAACTTTGTACGTTTTTCTAAATACAATCAGCTTTCGGACTATTTTTTTCACTCCTGACAGCAAGATGTAAAACATTAATGTCCAAAATAAAAAAATTTTCATTTATGTTGTCACTTAAACATTTAATTTTTTTTAAATTAGGCTTTTCTTTTTAAAATTATAAACACATGCCTTAAAATATAATGCCATACAAATCTCAACAGCATAAGATAAGAGCAAAGTTTATTAATCTGAATTAAAGATCAGCAATTAAACAGATAACATTTTAAATATTCTGCTATTTTTATCAGAGGTTTGTTTTCCCAGCAGTGTTTCTCTTCCTTGTTCATTCCAGGAATAATTACCCACATAAAGTATATTACAAAGACTTCAGGCAGTGTAATTGATCTCTTTAATAGCAGCATGTGCGTTCAGGATTTAAATACCAGTGAATTCAATGCGCAGTTGTTAGAAATGTGTTTAATTCCAGCACCATTAGTGTTACACAACAGCCCATCTGACGTAGACGTAGCCCAATGACATGACAATTAATACAATGCACTAGAAAAAATGTTATATTGTGAACTGTATGTTATCTCAGTGGATTGGTCTCTCTGTTAATCACTCAATGCTTTCTTTAGTGTGGACTGATACAGTGATTATACAGTGATAACAAAGATTTCTTTCCCCTTCAAAAAAAGTAACGAAATGTTTCTCGGTATGTTTTTCCTTCTCTGACTCCTTCAATCAACGGCTGATCTTGTACACCACGTCGCCGACCTGCAGGATGCCCGTCTTCTTCACAGTGTGCAGCTGTCCAAACAGTGGAGACGATTTATAGATGTGCTTCTCGGATGGTTTGCACAGACGATAGCTGTGAAAGAATTGTCATCAGAAAGAGTTCAAAGGGATTTAGATGTGAAATCAGACAGGAAGAAATGCCACTGCAAGTTCATGTTGAAGATTCATAAAAGTAAGACTTCCTTAAGGGAAAGTGTCCACTTGGATCAATGTGATTGACTAAAAATTATTATTTAATTACTGACAAAACAAAAGGGAAATAGGTATAGATAAATTAAAATAATAGTCCAATCAGATCCTTCAATGTGTCTAACAGTCATAAAAGTAGACCAATTTTAAGCTTTGCATTGCAGAGGGGATTTGTAACATTTGTATGCATAAAATAATATTTTTTTTTTTAGGTTTGCTGCTGATGCTGGCAGGCAGGCAGCTTTGTAGCAAGTTAAAACCAAACAACATACAGTACACATCAGTAACAGATAAGAGGGTTTTGTTTCTGAGGTGCTAAGAGGGACTTTGGCCTCTGTGGCTGAATACTAATGCAGAACAAAGATAAGCTATTTATAAAGATAGTTAATATAAGAAAACCCCCTAACTCTGGTTATTATATTGAAAATTGGCTCCTAAAAGGAGAACTGTCTGTTTACAGATCTTGGAAAGTATAACTACACTACAGTAAAGTTGTATTAAGTTTTTTATAGTAACGCATTTTGTGTCTCCAGAAGGAGGTGCAAAAATGACCTCAAATGATGTCACTTGAGTCAGGGTCTGTTAGGTTTGAAAAGCTGTACCGGAGTCTCATCGGATCTGGCTGTTTAATACCAAGATTCGACTATTCAATCCTTTTTATTTCAGTTCAGCACCACACTGAACTCCTGCAGTGTAAATGAGTTTCATACTTTAATGTTTAATGTGTAATTTTATGTTTTAATGCCTTTCACATCACAGTCAGAGAAAGTGCAAGCGTGCAAACTGCTCATGGTTCAGTTATAAAATCTCACCGCACCACGGACCGTCTCTGCTGCAGCGCTGTCAGCTTAAGACCCAATCGCAGTGTACCGCTGTCTGGTTAAAAAGAAGCTGAGCCGACTTCTCAGACAGTCCGCACTAGGGCGCTTTGTGGTTTGTAGTAATTCTGAGACTCGATTTGTAAAGTTTACAGCCTCCCAATGCCGCGCCGTTTATAGTGACTCAGCTAAAAAACAAAAATGAGTTGACTCGGGGTCCTCTTGACAACCAATCAACCCCAGCTTTCTGTAATCTCATCTCTGCTTCAGTCTCAAGGATTCATTAGCTAGCTATTAGTTGCATTGTGGGTAATGTGGGCACCAGGTTTTGAGAAGAAAGAAGAATGTGTGGAATAAAAAAACTGTGTTTCTGTATTGACTTTGCTCTTTTTTTAACCCCCCAATCAATAAAAAATATATAGCAACAAACCAAAATGACCTCCAAAATGTAGAATATACCCTCTTATAACATCCCTAAATAATATTGAGTTAAAACTTTACCTTTTCAGTGTTTCCAGAGGCTCCTTTCTGGTGATTACACCCGTTTCAGGGTCAACTGTAGTGAAAACGCAGCTGGAAACAACAAAAGCTACAGGTGAGTTTGGTCCTGTTGACCCTAAATCTCTTACAGTTAAACAGTAAATTATTGATTTAATAAAATTTGTACTGCAGCAGTGACTGCGCTGCAGCTCTGGATTCATTGTTGCTTAAAAAAGTGATTCTGTCTCTTGATTAAAATGTGTGTGAAGCATCAACTGTGTTACCGTCCACATGACATTACACGCTGCAGTCTCACGCTGCCAATCTGGATCTCTTCCCATGAATCCTGAAAAAGCAAAGCAGTTGGTTTTTTGAGTTGGAGATAAAATTAGTCCACGCTGCTCACACTGAAAAGGGCAAGGCAATTAGTCAGAAGTAAAGGACCAAATGATCTTTTTTTCCCAAACAGGAGGGAAAAAGAAAACAAAACCTCATGAGCTGTGGTGTAGAGACACATAGAATCTGTTATTTTTAAGACTTTTTGTGGTTTTAATCTAATCTTTACATCACTGTCTGATATGTTTTTCTCTGTTTATGTAACCAAACAGAGGAATCAGCAGAGAAAATGAGCTGAATAACAAACCTCCTCGAATGCTTCACAGTCACTAATGACGATGTTTGGGCGGAAACGCTCCACCGTGACATCGTTCTCCAACTTGCTGCTGAGATCCTTGACGGAGGACTCAGACAGCAGCATCACAGGTCCAACATCTGGGTAGGCCACCTGCTGGATGAATGGACAAACATACCATCATATGTAACAGGTTGTTTCTGTTACATACAGTTTTATAAATGTAGTGAAACTTTTTGGGAATCAAATTAAGAGAGAATTAGAGCTGACATAAAGAATAGGGCTGCACAATATGGTAAAAATATCATATTGTGATTATTTTTGACAGATTTTGTGATTGCGATATGAATCACAATTGATAATTTTTGCATCACAAATGTAATTTTCAGTGAAAAAAACAATTAAAATCATGATGATGTCAAATTTGTTGGCGTCTGGAGCAGAAAAAACATGTTTTCCTAAATACGGACAACTAGATTTGTAGGCCAGGGCTTCTCTTCTTCTCGTTAATATTATGATTAATTCTGCAGCCCTAATAAAGATCAACAATATTTGTCTTAGAGCTTTAAAATCTGGGAATAAAAAGCAACTGATTCCAGCCTGTCTTACGTCGTATTGTGGAAATAGAGGCTCGCTCTCCACTGGCCTCCTTGCCTTCATCTGGGGTTCAAAGTGCACCAAGCGAAAGGTTTTCTCTGCCCCCAGATAATGAGTGAGCCAGCAAGACGCTTCGTCGCCGCAGTCCCGTCCCTGAATGTCAGCTCCAAACACTCTGCAGCACAAAAAATTGAGTTTGAACAAAAGTAAATAACTAAAATGAGATATTTAGCCTTTGAAACAAGTGTCAGTGATATCTGAGGTATCTATTATAGGCCTCTCTTAGGGATAATAGGATATAAAGTCCTTAGATGACTAAATTAGCAGATGTTGGAGCTGCAAAATTAATTTCAAACTATTTTGATCATCAATTAACTATTAATTATTTTTCCAGCTTCTCAGATGTAAGTATTTGCTGCTTTTCTCTGTTTTATATGATTGTAAACTGAATATGTTGGGCTCTGTTGGACTGTAGGTTTGCCAAAAAAAACTAACTTAACTATCTGTGTTTTTTATATTTTTTAAAGCTGACTAGCTGTCAAAACAGACTCCTGTTAACTTTGGTTAATCAAACTGCAGGTTTCTGAAAAATAAATAAACTCCACCACCAAGGAAAATTAACAGCACATCCCTCCCCCTCCCCATGTTTGTGT